CATCTTCATGCTTAGGGCTGGGTTAGCAAGAACCCACCTTCTTGGTTTTGGTGGTAGGACTTCAGAAGGGAGATCCTCCCCCCTCCCCCTGACCCCCTGGGAAAAGGACACCAGTCAGACAACTCTTGCCCAGGACCTCCTGGTTCTCAGAGGAGAACCACTTGCTGGGCCTCAGTACACTCAGGACACAACTTGTCATCAGAACCCAAGTGCCCGATTTTAGGTCTTCATAGTCCTCATCCTGTCCTATGTACTACTGGTTCTGATTGGAGGTAAGGACAGGGGAGTGGGGGCTATGAGGGACCCAAGTGTATATGAGGGGCACATACCTGGCCTTAGCTTCTCTGTACTCCTCTGTGTCGGTGTCCCCATCCTCTGAGTACTGGCCCTCGGGCCGGCCCCCAGCCATGAGGCCCCTGGCAGCCAGGAGGCCAGCAGCATTTCCGTAGCCTGTGTACTTGATGAATCGGGGCACTGAAGACCAGGGCAGAGGTCAATGTGTGAATATGGCTGAGGCAGGCAGGGAAGGCCTGGGGCTTGGGCTCCCCCAACTCACCACTCTCAGAGCATAAGACAAAGAGGAACTCAGCAGCTACCCTCTTCACATCTGTATCCAGGTGTGTCATGAGGCGGACAAGCTTGTTTCGAAGCAGGTCCCCCACCTCGGGCCGAGTCCTCACATCCCTCAGAGGGGGCAGGACCTGGGGAGGCAGCTGTCTCTAAGTGTTGGCTTGGAGCAGCCAGGGGCCTATAAAGAAGATCCAACCTGTGTTCCCCAGCTCCGTCTCCTTTTCCAAGTACCTGGGCCTTCAGGAACTTCCTGGCAGGACGGTGCATGCGGGCGCATTCTGTCAACACGCTCAGCACAGGTGCCACGCACTCCTTCAGCCTGTGGGTCTGCGGAAGGGCTTCTGTCACCGTGACATGCTCCCCATGTAGGATGGGGGCACACTGCACACTTCACCAGATGGTTCTGGTGACAGACTCTTGTAAAGAGACCATGCTGCAGTAAGTCAGCTAGGGGCCAAAGGTAGCAGTGGGTATATTTACTAGCTTAAAAAAGCATGAAAACACTAAACCAGCCACGGTGGCACATGCCTACATTCCCAGCATTGGGAGGCAGGCAGATGAGACGTTCCAGGTCATCCCTGGCTACACAGGGTATATGAAACCCTTAAAAAGAAAGAGTAATGGAAACAGGACCTCCTTCTGGAAATGACTGAAAAGCTTTGGGACTTAGGTCAAACAACTCACTTCTTTAAGACTAGCTGCTGCAACTATAAACCAGGGCCATGAACAAAACAAAAAGCATCTGAAGCTGTCTGCACACCTCAGATGCACACTATCCTCGAGAAACAGCAAAAACAAACAATAGAATCCTTATTCAGAGTGCCTCATGGACAACAAGCAGTGTACCTAGCCTAGCCCTTCCCATCATCTCCCTGGAGCCCGATACCAGCAGGTGCAGCCATAGGGGCTGGCAGTCCCAGCTAGGATGTTCAGCGCCAGCTCCTTTGTCCTCACCCAGCCCATAGGTACTGAGTACCCTATGGCTCCTCAGAGATCTCATGAACCTCTGTGGCTTTCCTCTGTGTAAGCTCCACAAGGATGGGCTGGATTGCCAGCTATCTGGATGTCCTATGTGCAGTCATAGGAGTCAGGTAACCTTTGGTTATGTCTCCTTAAGATGCAGAGGGACAGCCAGGGGCGGGGTGAGGGGGTGGGATGTCACTCCTTTAATCTGAGCTCAGAGACAGGTGGATCTCTAAGTTCGAGGTTAGCCTGATCTACAGAGCGAGTTCCAGGACAGCTAGGACTACACAGAGAAACCCTGACTCGAAAAACCAAAATAAAAAACAAAAAGATGCAGAAGGACAACAGATGCTGTCATCTATGGCTGTCCATGTATGGGGTCATTAGGAGCCTGAGGGTCACAAGTAGGAACCAAAGGCTTCCGAGAACCACTGAACAAGGACCAAGTTACACCATCAAGCTGACCTCTACCTGCCAGGGTCAATGGTGCAGAAACAGTAGCCACAATTGGGGTCAAAGCCCCGTGGGTGTCCACATAGCAGGTCCTCCACCTACCTGGTGCAGACGCTTCTCTAGGAAGGCAAGAAGGGCACTGATCACTTCCATATTGACTCCCATAAACTCTAAGGATCCTTCATGTAGCTCCAGGGCGAAAAGAACATCCAAACATTTGAGGGGCAAGTTCCCCAGGAGATTCACAGTGTGGCTGGGGACAGACAGAGGCCTTGACCGAGTAACTCTTTATCACAGATGTAATCCCTGGCTCCTCTCCTGGGGTACACATGATATGCAGGACTGAAGGACAGCACTGAGGACTAGAGGCATGGACAGGTGGTACCCCCACTCAAGTTTGATGGGGAGACAGTAGACACTCCCCCCTGTCTGAGCTGAGATACCAAGCAATCTCTGGAAACAAAGGTCAGCTGAGGTACTTATTGGTCACCACCAGCAGGAACAGGAGACCACATTGCCTTACAATGCCATGGCCACCACTGCCTCCCCCTTAGCTCTTGTAGTCAGATCCTGAGTTCCTGGGGCTCTCTGGTGTCCCATCCCCCTGACAAAGTGATACTCTTCGTTGGGACCTGGGCTCCCAGGTGCTTCTGATTCACAGCTAGGGTTGAGAACTACTGTACCCATGCCTAAGCACTCTCCCCACCACCAACATAGTAAGTCATGGCCCTCACCCATGGAACTCCTCTGTGCGGTCTCCAGCAGCAGCAACCATCACACAGTGCCGCAGAAGGGTCCCCAGGTACCGGTAAAGGGCAGCGTCTTCCTAACCAAAGACAGAAAGGGGCTTCTGTAAGAAGGAGGCCCTGTGCTCCAGGGCCACAGGGAGCTGAGCACTAGGCTCTGTTCACAGCACACTTGGTGACCTCTGGCCACCTGAAGCCTTGTGGAGAACGCGCTCCCACCCCATGCACCACACAGTACAGAAACCTTCCTTGATTCCCTGCCTAGACTGTCTTACTGTCCTCGCCATATCTGACACCCTGGAACTTGAGGCACAAAGGAAGCCAAACCACAAAACGTCCCAGCTGTGCTGAGCCCCACCCATGACTTCAGGCTCCAACTCACCTCATCCACCTCCCTCTTGACAGAGTCAAAGGTGATGTTAAAGAGCACTTTGAGGATCTCCATGGCCCGCTCTGTCTCTTGGGCCGGAAGTACCGCCGGGGGGTCTTCTTGGGGGGCCACCCCCAGTGTCAGTTCCAGTGCATCGGTCAGCAGGCGCACACCATGCAGCTCCTGAAACAGCTGCTGGCGCACATCGGTGCGAAGGGCCGTTAGCAGGAAAAGGAGCCTCAAGTCAAAGAACTGGACTTCGTGGGGATAGCTCCTTTTGCGGTACAGTCCCACGCGCTCTGCTAGCCTCACCACCAGGCGCGCCTCTGCTGCCAGCATCTGTGCTGTAGGACTGCTGAGCACGAGATTGCACAGGCATTTGAGAGACTCGAGGAGGACATCCATGTCTGGGGGCTGTGGGGTGGGCTCCTCTGAGATGGTGATGTCAGCATAGCAGGCTAGCGCGTGTAGGCTCTGGCGGCTGGCAAAGGAGTCCAGGCAGCTGCGGTCCCGGGACAGGATTCGGATGGTCTGCAGCCAGGTGACACGGTGTGATGGTGACAAGCCCTGCTCTAGTACGGAGACCAGCAGCTTTGCGAGTCTCTGTGGGGAGGGGCAAAAGTGGTTCCACCAGGCCCTCTTCTTGGGGCAGCCCATGCCTGCCCTAGGAGCCCCCTGGGCCGACACCTACCTTCCTGTCCTCCTGTTGGGCATCATCGAAGGTGAAGCTCTGGGAGTGCTGCAGGGAGACCCAGTAGGCTCAGGTCCACACGCAGGTAGGACCTGTGCTCCTCGAGTCGAGTCAAGAGATCCGAGGCAGCAGCCATCGCCCTGAACGTAAGGCAAAGCCCACCCTCGCCTCCCATACACCTGCCCCACCACTTAAACACCCGCGGCCCAGCCTGCCACCCACCGCCGTGCTCCCGGCCACACTCGCACGCACACCCCAGCCGCGTTGCGCGCACACTGCTGTGCTTCCTCTCTCCATGAAATTTCCTGGGCAGCCGGGTGCCTCTTACCTCCCGGTTGAACGACTGCAGAGCTTCTGCCGCTGTGTCTTCCTCTCCCGTCTCCAAAGCATCCACAACTGCCCGGGGCTCCATGGCCCCTGGCACCGGGTGCTTGGAAGGCTTGGGCCGGGAAGACGCAATCGGCCAAACCCGCGGGCTCCGCCCAGGTCCGGAAGCCCAGCGTCCACGCGTGAGGGATGCCGGGAGCGCAGCCGAGCCGAAAGGGTGTGTACAGTCGTGGGGCGGGCCTCTGGCTTAAGGTGGAGCCCACCTGGCCGCTGTAGCCGAGCGGCTTGTCCTGGAGTGGGGATGCTAGCTAACCAAGCAGCGTCCTCCTTTTGTCCCCTCCTCTCTCGCCGGAGTTTCTGGCAGGCGTGGGGCGTGGAGGTGGGGGATTCGGACCGCGCGTGGACCGCCCTCCTTATGCACTCGTCGCGGAACAGGGAGAGGGATGGGGGAGCGCTGTCTCCCGGGCCGCTTAGTCAGCTGGGGTCGCACGGCGATTCTCACGCTCCAGACCCCGAAGCTCATGCTCCACGGGGGAACAGGGAAAGACAAGCACAATGACTCGAGTAGTCAAAAGAAGGTGGCTAGCTCGGCGAGGTGGCCCACGCCTTTATCCCAACACTCGGGAGGCACAAGCAGGCAGATCTGTGAGTTCTAGGCCAGACAGGGATACATAGTGAGACGGGTCTCAAAACAAAAGACCAAACCATCAAAATAATGTGGTTATCAGAGGAAAAAGAAAGTTGCAGGGTGTGTGAGGAAGGATCGAAGAAGAGAAGTGAAAAACACCCGGCGAAAGCCACTCCCATGGGAGGAGCAATTGGAGGGGCGGCCAGCCGCGGCTTGTCCGACGTTAGGAGCGTTCCGGCGCTGGGCAGTGAGTGGGGAGCCAGGTCCGCACGCCACGGAGCTGAAGGCAGGGTCGGTGAACGTGTACCTCACGTCGACACACACAAGCAATGCTCCAGTGGATGACCTGTCACCCGCTGAGCTAGCCGGCGCTTGCCCCGCACCTATTCGGTGTCTGGCCCTGGCGTCTCCTTCGCCAGTCTCCTTCAGTTCTGTCTGTCCTTCCCATCCTGAAGTTCGCACACCTGGGCTTCGCAGCGCCCGAGGCACCCGACTGCTTTACAGAGCCGGTTCCTAGCCTCAGCTCCAGGTTTGTGCCTGAGCTCATGCTCCGGGTAACACCCACATCTCGGGACTAACATTACTGGTCAATGCTGATGGCCTGCCCTTCCCTTATTTACATTCCATAGAACAACTTCATTTCTGTTTCTTCCGCTCCAGTCCCTTCTCCCGGAAGTTATTGGACCTGAAGCGGAACCGGAAGCCCCTTCCAAGTGCTGGTGCCACGTCCGTCGCTGTGTTGCGGAGTCCCCGAGTGGGTCCCTGGAGGGCGCGATGGCTGATTGGACTCGCGGTGAGCGCATCGAGGGTAGTTAGGATAGAAGGCGAGGTCCGGAGCCGGAGCCATCGCTCAGTTCTCGGTGGAGGGACCTGCGTGGGACGGAGTTTACATATTTCAGGAAAGGCGCTGCCTTGGGACCCAAGCCTGGGCATGGCATCAGTTATGTGTGTGGTTGGTGCCAGGAGCTGGAAGCAGAGGGTCCAAATAAGGCTTTCCTGATGAGGGGGCTGAGTGCCTCGGTTCACCTCTCGGTGCCTGTGTTCAGTGTGCCAGTTGTGATACTAATGCCTGGGCCATACTAGTGACTATGCAGTGGTTGGCAGGACACAGAAGCCCTTTCTTTTAGGTCTAATCTCATGTGTTTGCTGGTGCTGCTGGCCTTCCCCATAGTGAGTCACATTGAGGCTGTTTTTTATGCTTCAGACCGGTGCCTGTCACACTTAGGGAGGTGATTCTCACCTACATACTCTGACTGGCATTCTTCATGTGTAGCCCCCGTCCATCAGAGTCAGGTTTCTACAGGCACAGTGCTCTAGGGTTGCAAAAGGTCCGCGGGGGTTGCAGAAATGGGCTCCGTAGTTTCTACAGTAAAAGACCTTTCTTACACTTTTCCTGGACCTGATCCTCAGGTCATCCCCACACAGTCTTCCTGTGACCGGTTTGGGTGTTCTGTCTTTCCTATGTCCCTACCAGAACTTACTCTTTTCTCTTGAGACCAGCCCCACACCCACAGGTGGTGATTTCAGCTAAAGCAATGTTCATTCAGGTTCCGGAACAGTATGCAGCAGGGTAGTGCAGATTGAGCCTGCTGGTTCCCTCTGTCTATCCTTGCTTGGGCATGCACACAGGATGATGTGCTCACATGACCCATGCTACATGTCTGATGTATAGGTGGTCCACCTGTTGGAGCTCGGGGTGGGACCTGCTAAATTAGCAGATATATGTCTGCTTCCATGTCGCACTCCAATCTCCTTTGCTGTCTCACTAGGCCATCTGCCACTGGAGTGACGAGTCAGGGGCCACACTCATGACTGAATACTACCCTCCAGTCTCTTTTTCTTACAGCTCAGAGCTCTGGTGCTGTGGAGGAGATTCTAGACCGAGAGAACAAGCGGATGGCCGACAGCCTGGCCTCCAAGGTTACCAGGCTCAAATCGGTCAGTGATGGCCCTTTTCCCCTCTGTGTGGTACCTTGGTGAGTGGGGCTAAGAGGGTAGGAAGGAAGCGTGGGTTGTCTGTGGATATGCTGTCTTGAGTGATGCTTCAGGTAATACCTTGACCTTTGTAGCTTTTTCTGGTGATGGGTACCTGGCAGGGTTATGGGTAAAGTCTGGCGGGTCTGAAGGGAAGATGGGTGCTGCCTTCCTTGTTTGTCCTTGCCTGACTGGGCCCTCTCTGTCTCCTAACCAGCTGGCCTTAGACATCGACAGGGACACAGAAGACCAGAACCGGTACCTAGATGGCATGGTAAGCCCATGCAGATTCCAGTCAGCTCTGTCCCCATGCTGTCTGCTCTGTGCGGTTGGGTAGTCAGGGGTAGTCCCACCTCTGTGTGATCTTGTTGGGTCCCTCCTGCAGGACTCAGATTTCACGAGTGTGACCGGCCTACTCACAGGGAGTGTGAAGCGCTTTTCCACAATGGCACGGTCTGGGCGAGACAACCGGAAGCTTCTGTGTGGTATGGCCCTAGTCTTAATTGTGGCCTTCTTCATCCTCTCCTACCTCTTGTCGAGGACAAGGACGTGAGCCAGTGGACACCAAAGGCAGCCAGCTCTCCTACACCTGGCAGCCTGGTTTCCCGAGGACCTGGCTACAAAATAGATTCCTTTGAAATTATCGTCATGGGTCACTCGTCTTCCTAAGTCAGGACAGCTGCAGCCGCCTCAGTCCTAAGGAGCTCATGTTGGCTTGTCCTGGGTATGAAGGAGGAAGAAAAAAGCAAAACCCAACCCTATTCCCTGGTGCTAGAGATGCTGTTAGAGCCAGAGACACGTCGTATGAGAATGAACCAGGTCTAAGCAAAGCATCTGTGAGTCCTGAATGTACCCACGGTGGCCAACGGCCTCAGAAGCCAATATCTTCGTCTTGCTCTAACCTGTCTGTGCCTGGGTAAGGCCATGTCTGTGTTCTTGAGGAGTCTGGAGCTGACACTACAAGGAGATATGGCCGGCCGTGAGCCCTCTTCAAATGGTGATCATCATGATGGGTATGGCAGTAACTCCAGGCTGAGGCTGCCAATCAGGACCAGATCTGTGCAGGCCAAGAGTCACAGGCGCACCCCCCGGCCACTGGCTGAAGTCAGACCCCAGGGAAGAGGCAGAGCTGTAGATAGAGGAGTGGACTGCAGCCCTTGTTATCGGCATTGGACTAAGGTCCTTCTGGGCCACGAGACCATGTGTCCAGGAGCAGAGACGTGTGTCCTCAGGATTGAGAATCTTCTCAGTGCCAAAGATGTACCCATCCCCACGCAAACAGACTGAGAAATAATGTAGTGTGGCTTTTCCAAGGCAGGCAGTACTGGGTGGTCTTTCTGCTGGGGATCCTTATGGGGCTGAAGGCCACTGATGAAAGAATTTGTAACAGGAACATTTGACCTTGAACCAAACCTTGCTCTGCCCTGTACAGCCAGTCTCCCTCGGTGTGGGGGAGCCTGAGCCACCTCCTCGTTGCATAACTCCACAGACTTGCATCTCCCTGCTCTCCCAGTCCTCCCTTCCTCCTTGGCCAGTCCCATTTGCACACTAACTGACCTGTGGAGCTGACAGGGCCAGCAGTTTATGAGAGCCCAGCACTTTTCGTCTTCACATAAAAATGTCTTTAAGAAACGAACCCTGAAGTTCTTCGCCCTTCTCTGACCTTACTCATGTCTCTGTCTCTCTATCTCTGTCTCTGTCTCTCTCTCCCTGGACTGGCTCATTGCCTACCCATGTGGCCACACCATCAGGCCCATCTGCCTAAGGACCACGGCCTGTAGGTTCCAGGTTGAGCCGGATTCTGCCACAGCCTCCCCTCTTGCCTGTAGCAATGCCTTGCCGTTGATGCTTTGAGGATACACTGGGCACCCTCTCCTCCTCCCCTTACCGAGCAGCCTTTCTCTGCACACATTGACTTGAGGCTTATTTGGCCCTTCCATTGTGTCTCCCTAAGCCTGGCGGAGAAGGGCCCATCCTAGCGCATCCTTTGTTTTGGCTGCTCTCCTGACCAGGTACAGCTCACTCCACACTGCTGCGCTGTAGCTTTGCTGTTTGCCCCGCACACTTCCTGCTGGGCTCATCCAGCTTGTGCCTCATTCTTAGGTCTCCCATTGCAGATACTCCATCCTTGTCTCCCGGCATCCGTCCGTGGGCCGGTGCTGAGCTCTGCCCTTTGCTTGTCACCAAACATGGTAATAGCTGCCTGCATCCTTCTGTCTGGACCCGCAGCAGGAAAGTGCATGCTCCAGCGCTGTCTTCCTGGAACCATGTACTGGTGACTTCTACTCTCTGGGAATGTTGGTAAACCCCAGGGTGCTTTGTTTTTGTAAGACAGTGGCTGGCTGTGTATCCCAGGCTGCTTTTAAACCAGGTAGCCTAGGCCAGTCTCCAACCCATGATCCTCTGGCCTTAGCCTCCTGAATGATGGCATTACAGGCATGTGCATTCACACCTGGCTTCCCTAAGACACTTGGAACAGCCAGCACCTGCTCATCCTGCTGGTGCAAACTAAGTCTAAATATCTGCGTTTGGGGGTGACTTCCTTTGGGGCATTGTCCTTGCCATCCCTCTATGAGATGCACCGCCCCCCCCCCTTCAACATGGCTAGTTTTCTCCTCAGGTCTCCACCCTGCTCCACCAACCTCCATGACCATTTGTAGTTCTCCAGCTACTTTGGGGATCAGGATTGTAGCTCTTGTGACATTTAGATGTTGTTCTTTCTTGCATTAATCATGTGAAGGGAGGGGGATACCAACCCCACAGCCCCTGGGTCAGACCAACTTCCTGAAGGTCGTAACCATAGCCTCCAGCTCAGGCCTGTCAACATCTGGCACTTCCCCTAATGGGTGGGTGGGTGCTCCACACCAGCAAGTCATAAGAAGCCTTTGGTGCCCAGTGTGAGGGGCTGTGAGTACGAGATACCAGGTTCATCCTACAGTTCAAGGCCTCTCACCAATAAAAACCTGGTCTCCCTTGGGCAGGACAGCCACAGACCCACCCACTTCCTTCTGTGTGGCCCCTCTGCCAATCTGAGAGGAGTGTGTTAGGGTGACGTCCTAAGGGATGAGGGAGTAAGGGCAAGTTGGCTGGGACACACAGGCTTGTGCAGGAAAAGATCCCCAGGGGCCACCTGCTCTGCACTGCCCTGCCCTGAAGCTGAGGTGATGCTGCATCCCTGCTTCCTGAAGCTGGGCCTTGGACCCCTGAGAGCCTCTGTAGACACTATCCTCAGGCCCAGCTGAGGCGCCAGCTCTTGCACACAATCCTCCTACTGGCTGTGGGAGGAAACAAGCTCCCCAAGATTTGTACTGAAGAAGGAGGACATGTTTTGTTACATTGTTCCGGTGGAGGCGGCCTGGTGAAAACGCCGTGTGTTCTGCCATGTGCAGACCTTCCTGGCAGGCAGGCTGGAGGTGTGTCACCTTGAAAGCCTGCAGGCCAGTGCTGACGTGAGCTGAGATTCTGGCTGCTATCCCTGTGTGGGGTGGTTGCATAACCTTGCATGTATGGAGCTTCTTCCCGACGTGCACAGGGGCTTGCATGCTTGCGCGCGCACGCACACACACACACACACACACACACACACACACACACAGTACACTTTCGTTGTACTCTGCTGTCATGGTGTTCTGGATCCCTGGTTCTCAGAGAGCCTGAGTGTAAGGAGGAGAGCCTGTGAAGGACAGCTCAGGTGTCGGGTGGAACTCTGAACCCCCAGCCCTTCTCTGTAAGACCGCCAGGCCAGGAAGCCAAGACAGCCGCCAACCCCCGTCAAACTTTGTCTTTTCTCCAAGATAAACCCTTACAAATGCCATCTGTGGTTTATTAAATAATTTGGACATGGCAGGAAACAAGGTTAACAAACATGAGATAGTATAGAAAAAAATAACTTGTCAAAACCGTCCAAACTATCGTGCTCTGTGGTGCAGGGCCAGGCTGGTAGCGGCCCCGTTGGTGAAGCGCCCAGTTCGTCAGCCCAGCACATTTCCGTCGGAGGATCGTGGTCACAGGCTGCTGGGGTGGAGAGTGGGAGCTATTCCACATCGACAACCAGGGGCGTCATGTAGTCGGAGTGCTTGATGCCAAAGGTGACGATGGGGGCACAAGGCTTGTTCATGGTCACCTAGGAGGAGCAGGAGGACTGTGAGGAGCATTCTCGGCTTGGGCCTGGAGTGAGGGGCTCAGTCCCTCCTGAACTTGGGGCCAAGGTTGCCAAGTGTGAAGGCCATGCTGTGCTCAGGAACCTTAACTGTCACTGGGGACAGTGGGCTAGCCTCTGGGGATGAGGCTAGAACCCAGGTTTCCTGTAACTGAAAGGTGACCATCAGGGCCACTGATGGAAATGCACAAGATCCTAAGGGTGCATGCATGGTCCTCACTCACCCTTGCAGGGTGCAGGCCCTCCCTACACATCCTAAATCCTTTCCCTTGACCCCTATCTGACCCCTCTAGCTCCTGGACCTTCTCGGGACTGTGAGCTCCTGGTCCTGGCTTCAGGGTCTTATCCCCTGGGGGCTCCACCCGGGCAGCCATGGTGTACTGTGGAGCCTTGAACTTGGTCACTTGAACATCAGTCTGACGGTACGCTGCAGGGCCTGGAGTCTGGAAGATGAGAGGGCTCAGTCAGGCTTGGCTTTCCCAGGGCATGTGGCCCCAGAGGGTAGGGTTAGGTGTGGGACCTTGATTCACCAAAGACACTCTTAAGCTGTCTGCCAGCCATGGGAACAGCACCCCATTGTTTATGGGGTGGGGTGTTACTATCAATCTCAGCCTCACTGAGATTGGCAGTGGCATTCCCAATGTGCTAATCTTGTGCCCAATCCTCTGGGGTTATATGCAGGCCCCTTTTTCATGTTGGGACACTATCCTCTTAGTCTTGGGGGCAGAGGTCAGGGGCTAGTGAGGTCAACAAACTCCTGTAGTGCTACTAAGGTTGTGTGTCTACTCCAGGGCCTTTGCACCAGCTGTTAATACAGGTAGACATTTCCTCCCTAAGTAGCTCAAGGCCCCCCACTTCCCCCGTTCTTCCTTGTTTCCATGTCCTCTATCTAAAATTAGTGTTTGCCCTCCAGGCAGTACCCCACAAACACCTTAGCTTGTTCTCAGTATCATCCCATCACCCACGTTGGTCTCCTGGCCCCTCCCCACAACTGAATGTAGCCCAAGCATGTGGCAGGCACCCAGAGGTGGAGAGGATGCAGGAGCTTCCACAGGGCAGTAGTTGTCTGGGGATTCGTGGGTCTTGGGGGAGAGGATCAGACAGGTCATTGGGGCCAGGCTTTGTACCCAGCTGGGGTGACCCTTGCCTTGTGCAGGTCGTCGCTGAAGCTGCCCAGCTTGCTGCGGCCCTTGATGGAGAAGGAGGGCTGGGAGACCTTGCCCACCGTGTGCGGCCCCATCACCATAGGCAACATGTACGCAGCAGGGCCTGTGGGTGATGGGGGAGCCTCAGGCTGGGACAGACCCATTACCTCTTACCTGGGATACCCTCTACCTTTTGGAATCCTAGGTTGGGCTACCCCCTCCTCCACCCCATGCTGGAACCCCAGCTCCACCCCACCAGTTGGCTGGGACACAGCAGACCTGGAGTGCTGTCCACCCGGAAGGTCTTGGTCCGGGCAGAAATGGAATGACTGGGTGCTGAGTCGAACACATGCCTGGTAGATTTCTCTGGAAAGTAATCGCCTGGAGAGGAGGGAGGGGTGTGCAGGAACAACAAGCATCTGGGGTTCCCCACCCCACCCCCAACACCTGGGTGCCTACGAAGGATGTCCCAACAGTTAAGACACAGGGCCCCTGGGCCCCAACATTGTGGTTGAACAGATTTGGTCAGGGATGTCCACAGTAGAAACACTGGCGTCAGGGCTGTTTTCAAGCACTGGTGTGGGCCTCGTCCCTGGACTCCGGGCACAGTAGGACTGGTAGGTTTCAGGCTCTGCTGTTCAGGCCTGACGTTGTCCCCAGGAGCAGGAGAAATGAGGCTATCTGGCCTTCACATATCAGAACATGCATATTAGGGCTTGGAGCAGAAGACAGGGGTCACTCACCCGGGCCAGGGGTCAGCGTGGTCTTGGTACGGTAGCGCCCCAGGATGGAGTAGGCAGGGCCAAGGTCCTTGCCAGTCCTCAGTATCTTGGGGTTCACACTGTAGCGGGGCCCTGGGGAGCAATTCTCCGCCAAGAGCATGGGGGCCCCACGGAAGCTGTAGGCTGGTGCTCGAAGTTTGGTGGGTGTGTGCTTCACAAAGCCTGTGGGCACAGGGGCTCAGGGCTGCTGGAGCCAGACATCCTTCTCTCCACTGGGAGTCAAGGACTGAGCCCAGACCCATCCCAGGCCACACCATTCCTGGCTCCTTCCCCTCGTCCCCACCAAGTCCCAGGCCCTTAGACAATCTTACCCGTGGTGGGTGGAATCAGGTACTTGGGTCCAGGACTGCTGTAGAGGGCCATGATGGGCCCCCTGGGGCGATGGGGCCTCCAGGCGCCCACCCATACCTCCTCTGCCATGGTTGGCTCTGTCCATGGACAAGAGGGTGACCAGGTGCTGGGATGCCCTGTCCCATCTCATTCCTGGCCCTCATGTCCCATTCCTGGCCCTGCTAATACTGCACCTTGCAGACCCAGTCCTTGCCCCATGGAGACATGGGGGGGGAGGCTCTAGCGTTTACAAGCAGAGGGAGCTCCCCATTCAGTGTGGTGAGCTCACCCCTACCCAGCTCCAAGATAGGGGTGGGTGTTATGCCTTCAGGATAGGCCTAGAGGAGCTGCCCACATTGGCCCTGCACTGACTATTCTCTTGGTTCTGGGGGAGCATGGGCTGGTCAGAGAACCCTGGGTGCATCTTTGCAAAGAGCTGGATGGCAAGGGTTGAGAACTTCTTGGCTGAGCTGTGTCATGGGCGAGAGGGGAGCAATCGGGAGGCCTCACCTCCTCCGTGCAGGAATGGGCTTAGAGCAGCTTGGGACCCGGCCTCCTCACCGGTGGCCTGTCCCCCTGGCGTCTGTGCCAGGCAGTTCCCTAAAAAGGAGCATGGAGAGAAAGCTTCTCTCTTTCCCCCAGTTTTGAGAATTGGGGAGGGGTCCCTGCCCCTGAGCTCTAGAATGTGGCTTTGTCCCACAAGGAATTCTAGATCACAATGTGTGTGATGCAGACAATGGCCTCTGCACAAGACCTCTCATCAGAGCTTATTACCCTTTCCAGAGACCCTGTCTTCAGGGAACCACCACCCTCTCCAGGGACCTCCCCTCTTGGGTGTACCTACATCTCCTATCAGGACCCCTATCAGGGGTCTCCTATCAGGGACCACATGCCTATCCAGGAGCCCTCACCTCTTTAGGGACTCCTGTCTCTCCAAGGAGCCCTTACCCTCTCTAGAGAACACCCTCTTGCAGAGACACCTCCCACCTCTCCAGGGACCCCCTTACTTTCCAGGTTCTTTAACTCTTTGTAGTGGCTGGGACAGATGTAGAGAGAGTGAGGTTGCAGGTTTTTCCTGAGCTTTGGTCCACTAGTGATTTGGGGAAACTGGGAGACAGGGAGGCTCTGGCTGTTGGACGTCTGGGAGTACAGGGTTGGGCTGGAGACTGTGGTGGGCTTCCCTAGTGAGGGTGCTTTCTCCCTGCACCTCCTCAGACCCTGCCGTCCTTTCAGCTTCCCAGCTGGCAAAACCTACCTCTCAGGGCCCTGGGTGTCCTTGGAAGCCATCAGGGCTTCCCTTCTTGACCTCACTAAGGCTCCTCACTAAGGTTCTGGCTCAGGTTGGACTCTCTTTCCTGGGGTGCTTTGGGGAAGAGAGATTGTTTTCAAAGCTTCCAGTGCCTATGTGTCAGCTGGCTGCACCAGTGCCTGATTTTTTTATGCATAGCCCCTGTGAGGAACTCCCAGTCCCGTAGAGCCCCCAGCCTAACCCAGCCCAACCCAGCCCTGCCTTTCTGGGTTAGGCTCCTCCATCTTGCCGCTGTAGACCCCATCCATCCTCATGTTTCACATGGCGTCCTGAGGCTGCACTCTCACATTGCTTCTGGAAAGTGACCCCACATAGGAGTCTGTGTCTGGTGTATCCCTCAGTGTGCCCTTGACAGGACTTTTTTTGTGGATCCCTGTGTTGCAGGGAGAGAGAGGAGCCAGTGCCTGGGCTGCAGGAGGCTTTATTGATTTAACAGTTCGAGGGTAAATTTACTCGTGAGGAAGCAGTGGTCTTGGCTCATCCATGGCTGCTTGTGTGGCTGGTCCTGTCGCTCATGGAAGTCAAGCCATGTTTCAGGCCTGCTTATGAGTCCTCTTTATCATCTAGCACTTGCACCTGAAAGGGAAATTTGTGGGGATCAGGAGGGCAGGTAACCAGCAGCCAGAGCCACCAGGGCCAGAGGCAGACAGGTCTATGCATACCAGCGGAGCAGACAGGTTCTGTACATGGTGGTCCACCCCTCCTATCACCTTGGGGAGTTGTGTGCATGTGCACTGCCTTTGTGGGACATAGTCCGTGGGGGAAGCAGGACTAAGGTATTCTGGAGGCTTCTCTGTGAGGTCCCCATCTCAGCTTGCTGATGTAGGTCTGCCCGGGGGTGGGGGTAGGGGTGGGGGTGGAGGTGGGGGTGGGGAAGTAGACTGGTGATCAGGTGCCATGCATGGGTGGGTCTTGGAAGAACTGCAGACATTTGGGGATGGGAGCCCCAGCCCAATTACCAGCAGCTTGACCAGTTGCTCCTTATGCACAGGCTGCAGGCCATCAATGCAGGACTTCAGCTCCCCCAGTGCCGACTTGGCCATGTCATTGACATTGTACTTGCCCAGGGGTCCTTCATAGAGCTCTTCTGTGGTTCCCACCAGCAGCGTTTGCAGGAATTCCATGAAAAACTCATTGTCATCCTCTGCTGCGGTCAGCCCTGTTTTGCAAGGGAGATATAATGCCATGGGAGAGACTTGATCTCCTTCCCTGTCCCACATCTTCCTATCACTCCCAGGACAACCACCTGCAGATCCCTTCCCCCTTACCACTAGTGGGAGCTGCTGTGGTGTCCCCTCTGAGTTCCTGACCTCACCAGGGAAGAAAAGCCATGCCCCGATATAGGGATAGGGGCATTTCTTCTCCTAGGCTAGCTGGATTCAGGGGGGTCTGGTCAAGTTGGGTTGAGCCAGGGTGGGTGGCAGTGTCCTTGGTGGTTGGTGTTAGGTCAGGGTGGGTTGGGCTGGGACTGGAGTCAACAGATTCCCTGTACTTTGGGGATGGGGTCTGTGATTTAGGTAGGCACTGTCTACCCGATCCCAGGATTTCGGCCTCTTGGGGCCCCCTCATCTCCTGAAAGTGCCAGCAGAAGTAAGGCCCAGACTTACCACAGATGCAGAGCAGGGTTAGCGCCACCAGCAGAAGAGTGCTGCTCCCCTTCATGGCGACAGTCTCAAGAACTGCTTGGGGGACACCAGGCTTTTATGCTTTAGCAGGTGGCACCTTGCCCAGGGGCGGGCCATACCTATCAGGACCTGGCAGACCAACTGAGCCAGGCATGTCACTGTGCTCCACCGGGTGCCAAGAAGTGCCAGACTTGAGTGGATCATAAGGGGGCTGTTGGCAGACAAGTCGGGGTAAGTGGAATAAATCCCACTCAGGGTGAACCAAGTGTCAGCTAGTTAACGGAGAGAGTGCCAAAGGCCGTGGGTGGCCTCCAGGATGCAGTGACAGGTTCTGGGACGGGTCCAGATCTTTCTTTGGGGTTGGGATCCCCACCTCTGCTTAATGAGCTGCCTGGTCCTAGTCTGCACTTGGAGAGGGGTAGGCTGAGGCCACCCTACAACTACAGGCAGGAGAGGAGCCTGGGCACGTGAGGTCCGAGGGGTGGGGGCTTCCTAGGTTGGGGGTGGGGGGCCCGGGGCCACAGGAGGTCTGCAGGTGGAGGCAGTGTCCAGGGGAGGTAGGGTGGCCCGAGGAGCTGCAGTTGGGCGTGTCCTGCCTCTCTCCTATCCTCTGCTGCCACCTGGTGGCTAGATGGTCTCTCCTACACAGTGCTGGTTGCAGACCCTGCTCAGACACAGAATTCTCCCTCCGCCCACTGTCAGAAGGAGCCCTGTTATCCCATGTCTGAGCAGGGTATCATGGTGTCCCTCATTACCCCACCCTTCACTTTCTTATCCTTAGCCTTGTGTAGTGTATGCTTTGCCCGACATAACCCCCAGAGCATTGCTTTATGCCCCTCAAGCACTGTCCCAATGCCAGTAGTTCTTGCCTTCTCCTGTTTATAACGAATATTTGCTAACCTCCTTTGCTGGTATGAAATTAATCTACAGCGATGGAACCTACTTATGTGCATAAGTCTAAAAATGTGCGAGTGAGCTCCTCCCCTCACGCACACCCCCCCCCCCCCCATACCCGGGTCCACTACAATTGTTCTGGATGTCCATTCAGCCCATGAACCTGAACTTGCAGACATGGCGAACCAGATGATCAGCTGCAAGGCTGCACAGAGGAGACAGAAGCAGTACCTCCAAAGGCTCATGAAGTTCAAATTAAGATCATTGCCCTTGCTGTTTGCATACGGATGCCTAGTGATGCCTATACCCTGAGTGGAGCTGATCCTAAGGGGTGTTTCCTGGTGATCTTGGGACAGGAAGGTGCTGGTATTGTGGAGAGCGTTGGTGAAGGGGTTACTAAGCTGAAAGCAGGTGATACTGTCATCCTGATTTACATCCTACAACATGGAGAATGTAAATTTTGTCTGAATCCTAAAACAAACCTTTGCCAGAAGACAAGAGTCATTCAGGGGAAAGGGTTAATGCCAGAGGGTACTAGCATATTTACCCGCAAATAAAGTCTATTTTTCTTTTTTAAAAATTCTATTTCCACAGCTTAAAAAAAAAACAAAACTCATTTTTTTTTATTATGGATAGTGTTTTGCTTGCACGTATCCCTGCACGCCAGTAGAGGGCACCAAATCTCATTACAGATGGTTATGAGCTGCCATGTGGTTGCTGGGAATTGAACTCGGGACCTCTGGAAGAGCAGCCAGTGCTCTTAACCGCTGAGCCATCTCTCCAGTCTGGAAAGTCTATTTTTCATTTCATGGGAACCAGCACATTTTCCAAGTACACAGTTGTGACTGACATCTCTGTTGCTAAAATTGATCCTTCAGCGCCTTTGGATAGAATCTGCCTTCTTGGCTGTAGCATTTCAACTGGTTATGGTGCTGCTGTGAACAGGGCCGAGGTGCAACCTGCTTCTACTGTGCGGTCTTTAGTATGGGAGGCATTGGATTGGCGGTGATCATGGGCTGTAAAGTGGCTAGTGCATCCTGGATCATGGTATTGACATCAATAAAGATGAGTTTGCAAAGGCCGAGGAATTTGGAGCCTTTGAGTGAATAAACCCATTCAGGAAGTACTCACTGAGATGACAGACGGGCGATGCTGACAAGATACTTGAGGTACTGGCAAGATGAAGGTCATGAGAGTGGCCCGTGAGGGGCCCACAGAGGCTGGGGAGTCGGTGTGGTGTTTAACACAGCGGCTTCAGGTGAGGAAATCACCACTCGTCATTCCAGCTGGTGCCAGGACACATGTGGAAAAGCACTGCCTTTGGAGGACAGAGAAGTGTGGAGTGTCCCAAAGCTGGTGTCTGAATATGTGTCCAAAGAGAGAAACGTTGACTTCGTGACTGGAAATGAGTCCTTCAACCAAACTGACAAAACCTTTGACCTGAGGCACTGGGCGGGGTGTGTGTGTGGGGGAGCATTTGAACTCTTCTAAAGATATAAATTGAGACAAGAACACTGTCCATCCCATACTTTTTCCTGTGATCAGATAGGAACAGACTGACAGAAGATTTATAAGCTAACAGCTTTTTAGACTTCAGAAACTTCTAGAAGAAATGTGTGGAAGTAATTATGGCTCCAATCAAGGCAAATAGTCACAAGTCGGTTTCTGAACTCTCCACATAAATAATTGCTGCTCGCTAAGGAATATTTTAACACGATAAAAGTGCTTTTGGAAAAACAAATATGGGAGTGATTGTGCCATGCAGCCTCTGCCAGCGGAGTTACTGGGAGAGCTGACTGGGCTCTTGCCTTGCTGTGGAGCTCACTGGGGGTCATCTTTAAATTGTGGCTCTGAGGGCTGCGTAGATAGCTTAGTGAGGGAGCTGATGCCAATCTTGGCAACCCGAGTTTGACCCTCAGAACTCACATGATGGAAGAAGAGAACTGACTCCTGCAAGTAGCATTTCCAGGGGCTTGACCTGGACGTCTGTTTTGAGACACTCGCGCCCCCCCCCCCCCCCCGATCTGACACACAACTGGCACTTTTAAAGACTCTCTGGCTCAGCCTCTGTCACTTTACATGGGCCTCGACTGGGGTTACAAGTGGAATAAGTGGTCCCCTGGCCTCCCTTTGTGGTATCCGGTTTGCAGTTATTCCCCCCACATACCTTAGACCCTCAGCAGCACAGCTGGCTGACATCACCCTGCAGGCTAGCTTGCTTGGGCTGAGCGTTTGAGAGTCTCCCAGCTGCCTGGCCCTGTTTACTCCTCTTGTGTTACTGTAGGTGACAACATTGCCCTTATCAGTCACCTCATACCCTAAACACTTGTCCCTTGTCCTCTCCCCTCCTGTGGACTCGTCCTCTACCTCTTCCGGTACCACTTCAAGGTTGTTCTCTTGTTGTGGACACTGTTTGCAGAGGTAGTCCCTCTTCACATTCCATTTCATGCACCCTCTGACCGTCTAGTCTCACTCCCTCGAGTACCTGAGCTCTGAAGTTGTTTGGGATCACACTTCCTGGCCCACATCATGTCCAGACACTTGTATTTGCTATATCGCCATTACAGTGACTCCTTGGCCTGTGCCCCTCCCCTCTGGTAGTGTCCTGTGCTGGTTGGTTTTTTGTCAACTTGACCCAAACCTAGACATATCTGGGAAGAAGGAATCTCAATTGAAGAATTGTCCCTATCAGATTGGCCTGTGGAAAAGCCTGTGAGGAATTTTCTTGATTAGTAATTGATTGGGGAAGAATCAGTAGTCCTCTGTGGGCTGTGCAATTCTGTGCTAAATGGTCCTGGGTGGTATATGAAAACAGGTTGAGTAGCCACGAGAAGCAAGCCAGTAAATAACATTTCTCCATGGCCTCTGCTTCAGTTCCTGCCTCCAGGTTCCTGCCCTGACTTGCCTCGATGATGGACTGTGATATGGAAGTGTAAGCCAAAGCTTTCCTTCCCATGTTGCTTCTGGTCATTGCATTTTAGTCCAGCGACAGAATGATAACTAGAACACGTGCCTTCTGAAAAAGCCCCAACACAGGATGAATTCACAGTGGTGCAGAATGTGGCTAGGAAACTACCTTGTACCTCACAAGACCACAGCCTTGTCCTACGTGCCAACAGCTTCAGAGGACTGCTACAGTGCTGTGTTCTCACACCCTGGAGATGGCTCCTGCCGTACTACCTCCTAGTCACAGTGCCTCGGCTCTTATTTCACAGACATGGAGTAATCGGAAACAACAACCCAAGCAAACAAAAACAAAACCCTGTAAACCAATCAACTGACCTACTACCCTGCCTTCATTAAAGATTCTACCGCTGCATGTTCACTCATGTCTCTGTACAGATCTCCAGCCAATTCTCTCGTGGCTACATTTTTATCACTTCTCCCTGAGGCCTTTGCCACAGCTTTGTGCAATCTCAGCAACACTGGCTGTGCTGAGTCTCTATAATCAGCACAGGTTTTTGCTTCCACACATCCACATTCAGGCAGAACCTAGGCTGGGTGTCCATCGGCTCCCTACCATCCACCCCTGCTCTTTTTGAGAGAATCTGGACTCTGTGAATTGGGTTTGTCTGTTGAGCACCAACGGATCCGAGGCAAGGCAGATAGATTTGGATGTAAGTTTAGTTTTTAGTTTTTATTATGTGTGTGCATGAGTGCATTTTTGTCAATGTCTCTGTGAGTGCACACACACACACACACACACACACACACACACACCACAGACCATAAGAGGGCAGTTGATCCCTTGGAGCTGGAGTTACAGGTGGTTGTGAGCCACCTGATGTGGGTGTTAGGACCCAGATTCTGCTCCTCATGATTGAGCAGTAAATACTCTTACTATTAAGCAGTCTCTCTAACACAAGCTCTAAGTTTTTATGCTTGAATTTTCTTCTTTTTCTATTTTTCTTTTGATTTTTTTTGAGAGAGGGTTTCTCTGTGTAGCCCTGGCTCTCCTGGTCATGCTTTGTAGACCAGGCTGGCCTCTAACCCACAGAGATCCGCCTGCCTCTGCTCCCTCTCCCAAGTGCTGGGATTAAAGGTGTGTGCCACTATGCCTAGCTTTGAATCTTTGATTGTAAGTAAAAGCAAAGTGCTCCATATTGATCTGTGTTGTATCTGATTACACTTTTTGCAGGTGTACAAGTATGCTATATTTGTTAAATTATAGGATCCATTGTAGCAATCTGCACAAAGTCTGATGACTTTTCTAACATTTATTTGTGTCCTCTGACTTTATCTGCCTGAATGAAACAATGTTGCATTGAAAACTCTTGTGGAAGTTTTTTGTTTGTTTGTTTAGGGACAGGATCTCTCTAGGTAG